TCATCAGGTAGGGCGTGCTTAAATGTAGACTCAGCATTTGGATGGTAGGTGTAAAAAAAAATGTCCACTGGAAAAGTTCTGTATCAATCTTAGAAATCCATTCCTTTTAACTTAATGATCTTATAACCACTGACTTTTCTCATAATGCAGTGGAGATTTGACATAGAAATATTCCTTATCATTTCCTGTTGCCGTATTGCCTTATACATTGAAGCTGTATCTTTATTTCTGAAGAACTATATATTTTATTTATTTATTTATTTATTTATTTGGCTTTTTTGTGACCGGTAAGGGGATTGCAACCCTTGGTGTGGGGTCGCCCGCACCGCGCTCAGCCAGTGAGTGCACCGGCCATTCCTATATAGGATCTGAACCCGCGGCGGGAGCACCGCTGCGCTCCCAGCGCCTCACTCTCCTGAGTGCGCCACGGGGTTGGCCCTATATTTTAAAAACCCTATCCTAATTTTAGCTAGTTGCAGGGATTTCTATTTTATCTCATGAATAAACCCAATGAGATGTAATAGTTAAAAATCCAACTGTAACAGACATTGGTATTTCCTGGTGATGTTTTCACTGAGAACCTTTTGGCTTATAGACAATTTGCCTTTTTTCAGGTGTGATCTTTCTATATGCAGAGAAGGTTTGGAAAATGGGAAACACTCTGTTAGGACCGTTAGTGAATATAAATAGGATGACAAGTGCTTTTCAAAAGGGAGATGATATATAGCTCTCATTATTGCAAAGATACTTTATTCTGTTACTATGAAACTTTATGAGTACAAACTTTAAAAAATTAACACAAAAGCTTATTGTTAACTTACATATGATTACTTTAACAACCAGCTAGTGAAGTTTTTATCTGCTGTGAAACCAGGGCATAGCTGAGTGGATGGAGCAGTTGACACACTGGGTCAGGTGGCCTTGGTAACATTGTTTTGGTTCTGCTGGTGTTGTGCATTACTTTGGGTAATTCATTTATATTCTCCATTTTGTATTTCTACTTCCTAAAAAATAATTAATGTTCCTATCCCTTCACCTTCACTTTTCTCAAAGAGGTGTATGAGAAGATCTGAGACAGATATGATTGAGCTTCTTAGAATAAATATTTACTTGGTAACATATAAGTTGTTATTGTAAAAACAAAGATGAATGTACTATAAAATCTTTATAGCAGTGTGCACCCTGTTGTTTACTACATAACAATAAACAGTTGTTATAATATCCTGATCTAAGGATATATTTCTGAATTTTATTCAAACCAGGTGGCCCCTCAGTTTTGAATACTTAAAAACACCTCAGCTGTGGATCTAATGGGTTTAGTTGATAGGAAATTTGTTTCATACACTTGTCCTCTGCCTACATAGCAAATAGAATTTACTTTACAAAGTGGTTTCTAAGACTCATTTCCAGATAGTTCAGGTTAGCTTTAACATTCTTCACCTAGCATTAATGAATCCTTAATTCTACAAAGGAAGAAAATCCAGGGCTTCTAAATGTGGTGAAATTGTAACATGTAAGGGCAGGAATCAATTTACTGGTTACTCAATATTTAGTGATACATTTGATTGCTTTTGTGGTTCCAGATAGCAATTATTTCTAATATAATTTATTTTGCAGTGAGGGCCGAGGCAAGTTGACGGTATTTTCAGTTAAAGCTATGTTAGCAACCATGTGTGGTGGAAAAATGCTGGACAAATTGAGATGTAAGTATTTTCATATTACTTGAAAATTGTTATTTTTAAATTAGGACTTTCAAACAGTTTTAAATATATGTTTTCAGAATTTTGGATGATTCTATATTGAGCTTTTTTTTTTCTTTTTTTATTACCACATCACTCACTTTGCAGCAGCTGGCTCAGAGTATGTAAGTTATGCCACCTACTGTTCAGATGGAAAAGTTTGTTCATTTAATTTATTGCTAGTGTTTTTTAAAGTGAGAAAACCAAAGAGACTCAGCATAGTAATGTTGACATTTAAACTTTTCTTTTAAAAATGTTTTTGTATTATTAAAAATTATTGGGCCGGCCCGGTGGCGCACTGCTATGGTGCACCGCTTGGGAAGTGCGGCGGCGCCCCCGCCGAGGGTTTGGATCCCACATACAGACCGGTTCCCGCTCACTGGCTGAGCGAGACGCGGGAGCAACACCGACGGCTGCGATCCCGTTGCCGTTGCCGGTCCCGGTCCGGTCCGGGGGCGACACTGAGGGTTGCGGTCCGTTGCCAGACACGGAAAAAGACAAAAACAAAAAAACAAACAAACAAACAAAATATGCTTAAAGATGATTCTCTTGAGAGCTTTTAGTTAGAAAATAAATTTGATTACTTTTTCNGAAAGAGTGCAAATTCCAGTACTATGTGGAGTGTGGAAGGGATCCAGATGATAGCAGTTTTATTGATGTGGCTTTGGAATTTCTTGGAGGAACACAAAGTGACCAAGAGTCAAGTAGTACAAATGCACACATGCCAAAGCAAATGTGATATGTGAGTGTGCTTAGAATGCCCGATCATCGCACATAGTGTGTGGATTGATGTGATATGAACTGTGCTATGTCACTAATCACCATGTTTATCTCAGATTTCAAATGTGGATTATCTTTCATGTTCAAAATTATGATTTCTCTTCCGAGTGTAGCTCTGTTTCATTATTTTATTATACCATAATTATCTTGGCAGGGGAATAAGATATTCAATGTAAGTAAAATTTTGGGGTATTAAAAGCCTATCTCTGCTTTTTAACTTTATATCATCCAGGACAAAAACCACTTTAAAATGTGTCTTATCCCTTCCACTTTAAACAGAACTCACTGATCATAACTTAAACATTTTTCATCTTTTAGGGATGTTATTCTCTGATGCATTTAGGGCTAATTGTGAAGCTTAGGATAGTTTATCTCTTATATTTTGAGACGACTGCGCTTTTTCAGTTGTTGAGTTTGTTGTTGGTGGTGAGTGTCCTTTATCATTGGCAGATGTGATGGTATTATCAGTGTAGCAGTCTCTAGAAATCTCTACTTGCTTCTGATTTACTACTTTTAATATGCTGCTGACAGAGAAAACATAATCAAACTTCTTAGCATTCTATTTAAAGTGATTATTATAGGTGGTATTTGCTCTGATTAAACTGTTCCTTCGTACCTTAGAGTCTTGTACAGTTATTTAGAAGTTGATAGCCAATTTTTTTTCAGTTATCTTTTCTTATTTTTTTCTTACTACTGGCCATTTGGGCATTTTACTGTTCACTAGTTACTATAAGAAGGTGGTTAGGTGAAATGAAAGGAGATGAAATTCACAACTATTTAATTTTTCTGCCTATTGTTTTTATTTATTCAGTCATTAGATAATTACTGACAGCCTAAAATATGCCAAACATTGTGCTAGGTGCTTTACGTATATTTTCACATGGAATCCTTAAAATTCCTTTCAGCAGCAGGTGGTATATTCTTCATTTTATAGATGAGTTAACTGTGGGGGCAAAGCTGGGATTTCAAGTCAGGCCCTGTACTGTATTGTAATGGGAGACACAGGTGTAATTTCAATAGTGTTCAGAGACCCATAGAGTAAGAAACTATGTCAGGTTTCAGGGAGGTAAAATTGAAGCTGTGGGTTTTAACAAAGTGTTGAGATACTCTGTAAATTTGTTGAAAAAATTGGGTGATCTGTCCTGTAGCATTTCTCATAGGTTGAATTTTGATGATTACATTCTTGAGATGTTCCTCTGTGCCCTACTTTTTTTTTTTTTTTTAAATTGAAAGATACAGAGGCTTGATCGGATTCAAGAACAAGTTTTTGGGCAAGCTTACTTCATAGGTGCATTTTTCTATGCTTTTTAAAAAATGTTACCATGACATTGAAAGTTGGAAAGCTAGACAGCCCACTTAGATACAGATTTAGGTATTTTATGGAAAGATCTTAGATAATATATAATATATTTGGTCAACTGTTACCTGATTTAACTTCATTTCAAAATCAGCTGCAATGTAGAATATATTTTTGGTAATAAAATTATAGTTTTATTTAAATAATCTTGAGGTTTTTTAAAAATAATCTTCTGAAGTTTTTTTTACATGGTATCTCAAAATATTACTCTTTTGGGCTGAACTTTCATATTTTCTTAATTCAGCATAATGTTTTTCTAAGGAAATATGATAATATGGAAGAAATTATATTTCATTCAAACACAAAAAGAAAGTTGGACTTTTATCTGTTTTTTTAATGATGATTGTACTAAATAAAGTATATATATGCCATCTTTATTAGTACTGGGGAGACTGGATGAAAAATAGTAGAAAATTGATTATACAACTCCATATTCTAGATGATTCTGTAGTCTTTACGTTTCTATGATTAAATGTGCTACATTTATATCTATCCAGCTCACCTGGCACACAGTGAGTACTTAAGATTTTGCCAAATATAAATTGTTGATTGAGTACTAAATTTACTGCAGTTCTCTGCTGCAACTGTTAATGAAAGAGTGCAAATTCCAGTACTATGTGGAGTGTGGAAGGGATCCAGATGATAGCAGTTTTATTGATGTGGCTTTGGAATTTCTTGGAGGAACACAAAGTGACCAAGAGTCAAGTAGTACAAATGCACACATGTAAAAATATTCATATCCATTCACTCAGTCTACTTGTTGAATTTATCCTAAGGAATTAATCAGAGGCTACCCCAAATTTTATGTATATTTGTTGCAACACTTTTTATAGTATATGAAAACTTGAAACAGCTTTAGTATCCAAAAGTGAGAGCTCAGTTAAGTTTTGGGATACTCACATGATTGGATCTAATGCCTTTAAAAATATATTTTAGATCAAAATACATACATGTAATATGGCTTTAAACAAAAATTTATTATGAACACAGAAAAGTAAGAAATATACCAATATGATAAGAGGAATTTTCTTTGGATTATAGCACAGTGTAGCAAAAATGGTTGGAAAGTGGATATGAGAGATGACATGTTAAAGGACCACACATTACTGGGAATAATTAGTTGAGCGGTTAATGAGTCCTCTTACTATAAATAGCCAAATGTAGATTATTCTGTAAATGAACAGGCTTCCTGACTGGAGACCAGCCATTAAGACTAGTAATTNGCACATAGTGTGTGGATTGATGTGATATGAACTGTGCTATGTCACTAATCACCATGTTTATCTCAGATTTCAAATGTGGATTATCTTTCATGTTCAAAATTATGATTTCTCTTCCGAGTGTAGCTCTGTTTCATTATTTTATTGTACCATAATTATCTTGGCAGGGGAATAAGATATTCAATGTAAGTAAAATTTTGGGGTATTAAAAGCCTATCTCTGCTTTTTAACTTTATATCATCCAGGACAAAAACCACTTTAAAATGTGTCTTATCCCTTCCACTTTAAACAGAACTCACTGATCATAACTTAAACATTTTTCATCTTTTAGGGATGTTATTCTCTGATGCATTTAGGGCTAATTGTGAAGCTTAGGATAGTTTATCTCTTATATTTTGAGACGACTGCGCTTTTTCAGTTGTTGAGTTTGTTGTTGGTGGTGAGTGTCCTTTATCATTGGCAGATGTGATGGTATTATCAGTGTAGCAGTCTCTAGAAATCTCTACTTGCTTCTGATTTACTACTTTTAATATGCTGCTGACAGAGAAAACATAATCAAACTTCTTAGCATTCTATTTAAAGTGATTATTATAAGAAAAGCACTCGAGCTTTCATAGTATGGTTGGCAGTTTTGGCTATTGTGAGAACCTTTTTTTTCTTGCCTTCTAGTTCTCAGCTATATCCTACTTAGTTGAGGTGGTTGAATAATGGTGCAGCCTAAAGGGAGACAAAACACTACATTGTAACATCAAATTATGTGTGACCATTTATTCCCTTTCTTGTACCTACTTATTCCATTGTTTTAGTCCTTAGTTGCTCCAGCCTCTTCCTACTGACTGTACTCTCTACTCTTACCTCTATTGATGTTCCCATTATATTAGGTTTTCTAATTTATGGAATATGCCTTAGTGTTTCTACTGTTCTTCCTTTTATTTTGATCTTTCTGCTTTTTTGCCTTTTATTTTAGATTTTTTCCTATGATTTTTCTCCCCTCTGCTTTTTTTACTTGACATTTTTTGTTTTAGTGTCAAGATAGCAGATGAAATGACTTAATGAGTATTTATGCTTTTAGTTTGAAGCATTTCTTAATTAGACTTTTCAGATTTGTCTTGAGACAGTTTCTGTCTCCAGGTATCAGTTGTTTACAGAAATGGTTCACTGTTGTGGCATTAAGAACTGTATCCAAGATTCAAAGGTACCTTACATCAGGATTCTAAATACCAATAATTTACACTCAGAATACAGACTTTACTTAAAAGCATGCTCAAAACTCAGTAATGTCAGAAACCTAAAATGTAACTTGAGAACAAAATTTGCCCATTATTTATTAAACCATACTTAATCATCAATTAATTTAACTATGTGATTTATTTGCTTTATCTAATTCCGCTATTTGTTTTCTAAGAAACTTAATCTCTTTTTCAAAGCCCATCTAGTTGCACTAAAAGGTAGGAGCAAATAATTCATAAAATTTATCTTTAAATTCATTAAAAAACTGGTGCTACCATTTTGAAGGGTAGTTTAATATTATGTATCAGAAAAGCTCTAAAAAATATTCATATCCATTCACTCAGTCTACTTGTTGAGTTTATCCTAAGGAATTAATC